CCCAGTCTCCAATAATAGCCCAGTCTCTAATAGTAGCGCGGGTAGAGCTGTCACTGAAAAAATAAGAACCCCGGGCTCTTATTAGAGAAAATACGGTAGTTGTGTCTCGGGAGGCAGGCACTGATCCAGGTCAGACACATACAAGAGGAAAGGTGTCGGGCCAAGGATACTGCCTTGGGGCACACCCGCTGTTATGGGCGCCGGGGTTGATGAATCAACGTGGACCAGGACTGATAGTGCGCAGTTCAGGAGGTAATCCTGCAGCCAGTGCAGCAGGCAGCCGCCTGCTGCACTGATCAACCTGCTGATCAACCTGCTGATCAACCTTCTTGGCTTTAAAAATCAGTCCAGAGTGTGATACCCGATGAAAGGCACCTGCTATGTCCACCGCCACTATGTGAGCGTACCCTCCATCGCTGACAGTCTTGAACCACTCAGTGTGCAAAGCAGTGAGGATGACGCACGTGCCTCTTCCTTGCCGAAAGCCATATTGACTGTCGGGCAGAATGTTGAAATGCTCCAGATAATTCACGAGCTGCTTGTTTACTATACTCTCCATTACTTTTTACAGGATTGATAGTAGTGAGATTGACCGGTAGTTTTTGGGATCCGAGCGGGGGCTCTTCTTGAAGACTGGAACCACATGGGCCAGCTTCCATTTGGCAATCTGAATACCGTGGGGAAAGCAGAGTGAGAACAGTTTGGTGACTGGTTCTGCAAGCTCACTGGAACACTGAGCTAGGACTCTTGCTGGCATATTGTCAGGTTCGTTGCCTTCGATGTATTCAGCTTGGCTAGAAGGCGGCATACATCAGCAAGCCGGAAATGGATGCGGACAAGACCATGGGGGTCCAAATGCGGCATTTCTGGCAGATCGTCTGGAGAGATGTCAGTATCTCCAAGGCTACACTTATGGGAGTAGTACCTGGCGAGGCAATCGGCCTTGGTTTGGCGAGTTGGATACTCAGTGCCGTCGGTGTCCTTCAGAAGAGGTATCTCAGAAGCACGTTCCATACCAGCAGCTCTCTTCATGTTAGACCACCATTGCTTGTAGTTAAGTGAGCCTGAGCTGAGCTTAGCTTTGACACGAACATCATGTGATGATTGGGCACGCAGCAAAATAGCAGCTGTTCGGGCCACTAAGTCGATGAATGAAGCTCGCAAATCTTCATCATCGGGGTGCTGACGCCACAGTTTCCATGCACGAGTCTTTGCTTGTGCTACAGTGCTGCACTCAGGTGTCCACCAACAAGGGTCTGTCGTTCGTACGGTCAGGGTCTTAGATGGTATAAACGTGTCAATTCCATCCAGAATTACAGTTGTGAGTTGTTCACATGCACGTTCGGGGTCATCGCAGCCGACAGCAGCCCAGTCAAAGCTGCGGAAATGTGCCCTCAGTCTGCCCCAGTCTACTTGGCCACAACGCCATACTTTCCTGCTTGTTGGCCGCTCCAGTACAGGACTGATTTCCTGAAAGTTGGACAATACTACACAGTGGTCAGAACGACCGATGGGAGATGATACTGCTGTGTGGACAGTGCCAGGAAAGTCGGACAAGACGAGAGCCAATGTGTTTGGCCCACGGGTTGGCTGGGTCACGTGCTGGACAAGACAGTGTGCTGCACTGATTTCTTCCCTGAACTCCCCTGCGAATGTCGTTCGAGAGCTGCCAAGCCAGGACGTGCTGTGAACATTAAAATCTCCAGCCAGAATCATGTGCTTACCATGCTGCCGCATGATATCTATGTTGTGCTCTAAGTGCTCGAGTAGAGCCAGATCATTGTCAGTCCAGGAACCAGGGCGATAGGCTGCACCTATGACAGTTTTGCTGTTGTACTGGCCAACGGTGAGCCACGCTGTTTTGAATTCAGCAGACTGGTACTGATCCAGATGCTGGTCCGCGATGCCGGCTTTGATCAGGCTCCAATGCCACCTCCGTGTTCTGTTCGGTCTCGGCGAATCGGGCCACAGTATCCCGGGATCATAGATGCACTGTGAGAGCATTTATCCACTGTTACTTTCGTCTCAGTCACTATGGCAACATCCGCACCTGAGAGCAACAGGGTATGCTGAAACTCTCCGAACTTGGACAGCAGCCCCCCTGCATTGGTCAGGAGGAGCTTCATGATTGCTGGCTGTCTGCATTCAGTTGTTGTTGCTCGGCAGACTCTTGCTGCTGGTGGTCTTCGGCCAGTTTCTTGAGTAGTGGGCTGCCGGAGTCAGGTGAATCCCCATGCCGTTGCTTGCGGTCGTGAGGCAACGGTGTCAGGTCGGAGCTGTGAGTGGCTGAGTCCTTGCCTGACTTCTTAGACAGCACAGACTATCCATTTCCCTTTCCTGGCACTGGCCCACGGGGTTTTTCATGGAATGTCCACTTCCTCGCATACAGTGGTCTAGGCCAAAAGTTTACAGAGGTGACTGTGGGGAGGGCATCAGCAACAACAGGTACTCTTCCTGTCATCATTCCCCTCTTGTTTTCACGGACACTGCAATCATGAACTGCAACTTACTGGTGTACTGCGGTGGAGCGTGTTGTGATGAACTCGCTTAGCCGTTGGTAATTGCACTGGGCACTGAGAGTAGACTCGTGCCAATCTGGCCTGCAGACGCTCAAGGACGGCCGCTTGGGATGGGGACAGTTGGAACTGCCACAGTAACGAGGCGTATTCAATGGTGGGTCGGACATAACCAGTATAAAGCCGGTTTGTAACTTTCGGCGTTAGGCGGCTCGACATGTGGGCAAGTAGTACCAAGCGTTGGCGAAATTTGGTGGTGATGGTTTCGATGTGGCACTGGAAAATGAGGTGACTATCAATTCGCACGCCAAGATGTCGGAGCGTGTAGACCGTGCGCACGTCTTCCTGGTTCATTTGCAGGTGACTGATATTTGGACGGTCCGGTCCGCTGGTACGCCATTTGGAAGGACTTCGTGGGGTTAAAGCGTCCACCTACCGAGTCGGCCCATTTCAGGGCGGCATCCGTGGCAACTTGGAGTTGGTAACCACGGTGCTGGGAAGAAGGAGTGGTAGGTGCAGCAACTTCCGTTCCAATGGTCGTGTCATCGGCAAAGAGAACAACTTGACAGTGATTCTCATCTGCGATTGTCTGCGGGAGAGAGTTGATGTACAGAAGGTAGGTAGGTAGGTACATTTCTATATGAATTCGCGGAACCAAACGGGCGGTGTCGCCCAATTACATGGAAGCGAATGGAAACAAAAAGATATTGTAGGAAATAGTCTAACATGATAGCAGGGTGTAGTACAAAGCAATGAACGCTCGGTCAATGAATAACGTTAACGTTAGAATACAACACTGGGGAGACGGTAAACAGCACACGACTGGTACCGTGGAGTACCGCAACGTTCAAAGGTTCCTGCAGTGTTCAGTAGGGGGTGCTACTGCTAGCAAGACAGAACGGGAGGCAGGCTTGTTTGAACTGGTGGTACTGGGTAATACCACGCGCATCGGATGGCAGGGTGTTCCATAAAATGGACCCGCGAGCGGTTGGACGGTCGTGGCCGGCTTTGGAGGCAGATTTGGGCACTCGAAGGACCAAGCTCCGTTGCAGGAAAGGCTTCTTCAGGAAGGTGTGCCCAGTACTCGACCGCAACGGCCGCCCCAGCGTATACAAAGGCTTCATACGCCCAACCATGGGATATGCTCCCCTAGTCTGGCAAGGCGCAACCCGGTCCAAACTCGCGAAGCTTGACCACATCCAGCAACGGTGCATGTGCAACGTTGGCGCTGGTACCATGCTCCCAAGTTTATCAGTGCGTCGACAAGTCTCGGGACTTTGCTACCTGTTCAAGCTGCACTACATTTCCGGTCCGGGCCAGCTGACAGACATGCTGCGGCCACCTGCTGCCCCTGAGCCTGCACGCCCCAGAACCCGCCACCAACATCAAGCGAAACACTCCCATGCCTTCCAGTTGTTTTTTATACTATGGGCCTCAAGTGGGTCTATTGTTATTAGGCAATTGTCTGTTATAGTCACCACTATAAATAAAAATCCAATCCAAATCCAATCCAAAGGGTTAAACTTGACGTAACATCCTGTAGGCAGTATGTATGTATGTATGTATAACTCATAATCACAAGGTGATCGTAGAGGCATTAATCAGCGAGAGAATTGTGAATGATGTCTCTGAATCCAACTCTATCGTGTGCTGCATGAGAGAGAGCATGCAAGGGAAGACCCGTCCAACTTTTAATGTTAGAAATCCATGATGTCGCGGGCCTTCCTCTCGGTCGAGATCCAGGAGTTGATCCTTGCAGGAAGGGCTTGGAGAAAACGTCATGTCTTGTAACATGGCCAAACCACATCAACTTAAATTTCTTGACTTCGTTCGCTAGCCGCATCCTTGCTCCGATGATGTCATTGATTTCCTCCAGGATAGATTGGTTGGTACGCCGGTCGTGGTATGTTACTCCTAAGAGTCGGCGGAAGCATTTCATCTCGAAGGATGAAATTCTTCTCATTGATGAGGCAGATAATGTCCAAGATTGGCATCCGTGTAAAACAGTCGCTAGCACAATAGACCTAACAAAACGAAATTTCCTGTAGGCAGTAGCGATGCGCAAACACTGAAACAGAGGATTGAAGAAATGGCATTATGTGCGTCACAGATTGCTCCTGATGTGTTGACAACTCACAAGCAGCTGTGGCCCGTAGATCTACGATGTACTGCAGACTGCATGCAGTCCACCACTTGCACCACTGTCTACGCAGGTTACTGTCTGCAGTACAGTATTGGCTCTGTTGAATGCGTGACTACACCACTGAGACTGAGAGGGGCGAACAACACACAACTCTCAAACAGTGGACTGCAAGTTAGTTCTGCTTTAGCTGTGTGTACTGTCATGTAGCCCACGTTCAGACACACCAAAAATAAATGTTCCACTTCGTGTGGGTTGTTTGGCAGGACTAGTGAGCATTTCCTGATCCTGAACGATAGAGAGTGCAGTATATACAGAGTAGTCTAGAGGAGAAGGCCTGACACTGACAGGGCCAAGTCCAACAACAGTTACTAGTGAGACAGGTATTTGGTCACCCTTTGAGTAAAATCTGATCCGGAAAAATCTTTTTTCTTTTCCAAACCACGTAGCTGGTTGTCGCCTACAGTAGGGGCTATGTAGTGCAAGAGTCAGTGTATATCGTATCAGGTAGTTTTGGACCCGTCCACCAAATCGAACTTGTTCTAGTCGATTGATTCATAGGCAGCCTTGCTGAGAGCTAGAACTAGAGCCACTTCAGGCTTCGAAGTATTGGTGGTGAAGTGGAAAACTCAGAATGCTAAGTGTGACTAGTGGCCAGCAACGATGGCGTTTCGACACGTCGGCAGTTTTTCTGATTCAGCTGCTGTTGTTCGTGTTATATGCTGGGACGTGTACTGCCACGAATGGTAAGAAAATAACTGGTATTAAAGGGGAAGCCCAAAAATCAAATTTTCATCAGTTCGGGGTGCTGAGTCGAATGGTCTTGGTACGAGGAAGCTGAGACGCGCCCTTCCTCTTTTATTCCCAATCGAACTCGCCACTTCCACTGAAACTGGGTGACTGTGCCCTACTAGATGGGGATTTGTATGCAATACCGTATTTCCCCGTAAGTTAGTACGTACTAACTTTCGAAATTAGCAGCCACATGAGTACTTACTTTCGGGAGTGGTACTATCTTTCGGGGAGTACTTTTTTATCGGGGGTAAATGACACGCAGTGGGAAGCCTGCGCAACTCTAGTGTCCGTGCATATGATGTATGTACTGTACAGTGTCTGTACATGTAGGACGGGTACGAACTTACTATCTTTCGGGGGGAACTGTCTTTCGGGGTGATAACCTCGGCAGTGGAAAGTGTATTTTTTATAGGGGGTACTAAGTCTATGGCATTGGTGGCAACCTGCTTTGTTTCTTTGAAAGCTACCTAACTGACAGGTTACAGGCTGTACGCGTCGGCAACACCCTCTCGTCTCCCCAGGCAATTAATTCTGGTGTTCCACAGGGGTCAATCCTGGGGCCACTATTCTTTTTAGTCTACGTCAATGATCTACCGATGTCTGTCCCTAATGTTTCACTGTTCGCCGATGACACCACAGTTTCCGCTTCAAGTAGTTGCAAGCAATTGCTAGTCAATGACCTCCAGAAAAAGATAAACTCCACCATTTCTTGGATGTCGACTTGGAAGCTGAGACCGAACACTAGTAAGACCAAAGTGATGTTCTTCTGTAGCGGTGCTAGTGATCAGTTCTGTAATGTGTCTTTATCATGTCCTGGCAGCTCATCGACCATAGAAATTGTCCATGATCATAAGCACCTTGGTATAATTATTGACGACTGTCTAACATGGGCTCCTCATGTAGACTATATTTGCAAGAAAACTAGTAGTGTTCTCGGCATCCTATGTCCTCATCGTTCTCATTTGCCAAATACATGCCGTTCTATGTTTTATCGCTCGTATCTATTACCTATTTTCCAGTATGCATATCAGTCTTGGTGTAGTCTAAGTCAACATCTTGTGAACAAACTTGAAATCCAACATAAATCTCTTCTTAAAATATTGTTTAACAAGCAGCGTTTATTTCCTAGTCTTGAGCTCTATTGTATCAGCAATACTCAGCCACTGCAAGATAATCGCAAACAGCAGCTTTGCGTTTTGATCCACAGAATTCGCCTGGGTAAAATTCCCATTCATCTCTCCGTATTCAATTGGTTTTCTCTGTCCCGGTCCACTCGTAATAGTCTCGCACTTCCGCGTGCTAATTCAGCCGCATTTACCAACTCTCCTCTGTTTTTGTCCTACAGCCTTTGGCTGCAACTTCCCCAGCATGTTAAGACATCAAAATGTCTTTCCAGCTTTAAAAATGCACTCCGATCGCATAATGTAGTACGATAGGATCTCATTGCTGTATTCTTGTCTATCCTTCTTTCTTCTCTTTTTCTATATTCCTTTCTTTTCTTTTCTTGCCGTGGTTGGCTAAAACCCCTCTCTCGCACTTTGCGTGCCAATTGGTCATGAACCACGAGTTGAGTGAAATAAATAAAAAAATAAAAAAATAAAAAAGTCATAAGGAGGAACTAACTTACGGGGAAATAGGGTATGTCACTAAAAGCGGCCATTTCGTTCTTATGAAAGCATGGATGACCGCGATTGGCCCATATGACTAATGTTGTACTCTTGTCAGTTTTGTGCCTAGTTATTGCACTTTCTGACTGTATATAGTATCCAGTTACAGTGATGGAGAGTTACTCTTAACTCGTATCCATATGTCCTTTTCCTTTCTACATTTTTTAATTTTTTTATGCGCGGGCATGGGCTTATACGCGGGTGGGTTTATCCGCGGGATTCTACGGTATTCCCAATCGAACATGGTACCTGCAGGTTACAACTTTCACACCAAAGTTCAACTCAAAGGTTCAAAGTTCAAGGGTTCAACTCGAGTGACAGGAATGGGCTCTAACAGGCTGTAAGTTGTACCCTGCAGGCACAGTGACCAGGCAACGTTTACAAAAAAACGGAAAGCAGAACCGTGGCGATCTACTGTATTTGCAGTGTTCAATATTGATGAAGAAGCAAAGGAAGCCCGGATCCTGAATTGCAAAGTCTTGCTCTTTTATTTGTACCGCGTGCATGTGCATGGGCGCGATGATCAGAGTGCTGTTTCCTGATTTATTTATTTATTTATTACAACATCTCAAGACTCGGCGGAAACACCGGCCAATGTTACGAGAGTGGGTGATTGCCAACCACTGCGATAAATAGAAATAAGGGAAGGAAAAAGAAAGTAGCAAAACGAACAGCAACAACAACTCCGTAAAAAAAGATAATGTCAAATAAAAACAGTGAAAAACACAGAGACGCAAAGGACATGCGGATAATGAGCTATGTATGTCGTAGTATATAAGGGGCGGCACGGATCTTAAACAGGCGGAGTGAGGTCAGGTCCTTAACTTCTCTGGGTAGAGTGAGCCAAACAGAATAAGCAATAAAGAGAGGGGAGCGCAAAAGAATGGATGAGTTACACTTAGGGAGTAAGACCGAGTTTCTAGTTCTTAGAGAAGAGAACCAATTAAAACACATGAGATGAGGTGGGCACAACTCAAGCTTAATAGAATGGACAAGAGAAGCCAGGTGTGCACTGCGTCCAAGTGATAACGGGGTTGTGTGAGCGATTTTATAAAGGGCGGATGATGAGAGCATGCGGGGTTGACGGAGGAGAATTTTAAGGATTTTCTTGTGATGTATTTCAAGCTTTGCAGCAGCGGAAGAGGATAACCCAACCCAAGACGTATCTGCATATTCAAATATTGGGCGAAGGTAGGCTAAATATAAAAGAAGTTTGCAAGAAAGTGGGAGGTAGGAGCAGTGGGGGGAGAGAATTCCTAAGGATTTACTTGAGTTTGTACAGATATATTCGATATGAGGTACCCAAGAGAGTGCAGAGTCAATCAAAATGCCAAGGTGTTTGTGAGAAGACACTATGTCAATTGGATTTGGAAGGTTGGCATGGATGAGGGTTGTGAACTCCGGCTGGGGCGGGAAGAGCATGATCTTTGTTTTTGATAGATTTGGGGACAACCTCAAGGACGACATCCAGGAAAGAACTTCCTGAATGCCAGCACGCAAGTTGTTTTTCAGGCCAGTGAGGGAAGCTGATGAGGTGAGAAGGGTCGTGTCGTCAGCAAACAGAGACGTTCCAGGGAAGACTGCAGGTAAGTCGTTTACGTAAATTATAAATAGTAGGGGACCAAGAATTGATCCTTGAGGAACGCCCGACAATACTGGCTCTGCAGCCGAGGATGTGCCAAGCACAGTTACGTACTGATAACGCCCAGAGAGATAAGATTTCAGCCAGGAGAGTGGTTGTTTGCGTACCCTGAATGCATGCTCGAGCTTTGCCAAAAGTCCTCGATGCCAGACGGTATCAAAAGCCTTGGCCAAGTCAAAGAAGCAAATGCCAGCAAGCGCTCTGTTATCCCTATGCTGGCACACCCCCTGCACGATGCGGGTCAGTTGAAGGGAGGTGGAATCGCCTTTACGAAACCCAGATTGTGCGGGACTCAGAAACGGCGAAACATGTCTGTATAAGTGGTCATAAAAGATGCGTTCACATACTTTGGACACGCAGGGAAGAAGAGAGATAGGGCGGCAGTTTGCAGGTTCGTGGCGGGAACCTTTTTTGAATACAGGTATGACTTTCGCTGTTTTCCATGCGGAAGGGAATATGCCCGTGGTAAATGACATGTTGAAAATATGGCACAAAGGGAATGCTATGGATGGTGCCAGGGCCTTGAGGACCCGGTTGGGGATGCCGTCAGGACCAGACGCCTTGCACGTCGGAAGCTCCTTCAGATTACACCGGACAGTGGCAGTTGTGGTGATGACGGACGTGAAACAAGCTGAGGGCTCCGAGGGGGTGAGAATAGGGGGAATAGAGAGCAACGGGTCATCTGGCCGAGTCACAGAGTCAACCTGGGCGTTTAATGCCGTAGCTTTGGCCAAAGGGTCAGCCGCCTGCTGAGTCCCTGTTGTGAGTGACGGAATTTCCCGTGATACGTTTCGAATTCTTGCTTGTCTCACAAACTGGTGAAGCGATGGACGGTGTCTACCCTGCAAAGTAGTTTGCACTGAGCGGATTCAAGCTCTGTACTTTGTCCGCATCAGGGTTTTCACTATATTTCGCTGCTGTTGGCATGCTTGTTTGTTTTGTTGTGTTGGGTACTTCTTAAAAATGCTATAGAGATCGTATTTCCACTTGATTGCTGTGCGGAGATGGGCATCAACCCAGGGTGGCTGACTGGGCCGTGGGCAGCGGTGAGAATACGGCTGCTTTCCGAATGGCCAGAGGTGCCTCTCAAGGGCACTGTTGAGAATGGAAGAAAAGTGCGAAAGCGCATCATTGACGTTGCTGGCACGCAGGTGCCAGCTCCAGTCAATATCAGAGAGCTCTGCATTCACACTATCCCAGACGGAAGATGGCACGGATTTAAAGTCATATTCCGGCTTTGCAGGAACATTGCTGCAGTGGCTTCGGGGTGCAGCAGCGGGATGTCCGCTTGGAGCAGGTTCCTCACGGTAAACAGCATCAGTAGGCAGTAGGAAATGACTGATGATCTGTACGTGGTCAGATGCACCAAGAGGAGCAACAGATGTAACAGAGAGTAGTAGGTGAGGATGATCCGCGAGTACAACGTCAATACACGATGTTGAGCCGTGGGGGGTAAAGTGTGTGGGGAATGTCACCATTTGCTCAAGGCCAAAACAAGAGAAGAGGTTACGGAACTCCCTTCCAGCACGATTCGTCGTGTCACTAGGAGACCAGTCAGAGTGGCGAGCATGCAAGTCTCCTGCAAGTACAATCGCCGAATTGGGGAGGCTAATATTGGACAGACAGTCCTCTAGGAGGTCAC